ACAGCCAACCTGGCAAGGAGCAAAGTCATAGTCTGTATACAACCAACAAAACAAATATCAAGCATGACTTTAGGCTTTATCCTTCTCTATAGAAGATTTTTTTTCAAAACAAACTGACGCGGGACATTCATCAGATAGACAGACCTTTATACTCAACTGTTTCTTTGTTTTGTTTAACTTAAGTGTTACATTTTCACAAAAAATACTACACCCTAGCAAAGCAAAGACAAAACATCAGGATAATCAACACACAAGCTTACCATAAACAATCTCATGTTGGCTAGCTGACAGCATTTGCTCTCCCCTATACAGATTCTCAGAGCATCATACCGATCACCTCTGTAAAATACAAGAATCTATCATAAGATCACGTAATTATTCAGTCATATCATATCAGTTTTGTATAAATATGTCTAACACTTTACTTCATGTAAAACATAAAATCAAACGACTATCAATTTCTTAGGAACAATCAGTTTCTGCATATGTGTTATCGTCTTGGTTAAAAAATCTTTACTGACTTTATTAAAAGCTCTGCATAATCTTTATGATAGCACTTTTTTTTATTTGTGACTTAGATAAAAAATACTCTGCAAATAGGTTCCAGATATTATTTTTCATATCATGATGGTTTTTGACTGAAAGTTGTAGGTTATATAAATGAGAATTAATTCACTCCAATAGATAAATCTTAATCCATCAATTCTGCATGTAATTTTATTAATATATCTCTTATAACTTCAAAAATAAATATATTTATGACTGATTTCACAAAGGGTGACAACAGATTAATTAGAACAATTAAGCAATTATGCAATTTACCTTGGCTGGAACTGGGCTGGGTTGATGGCGTCTGTCTTATTGACAACATCAACAGCATCTAAATATAGCTGTAATACAAACGTGTCACAACATAAGACGAGACCTATCATAGCTAGTGTTAGATAACATACTAAACAGAAGCTTCAACATATTTAGTTCACTCAGGGAAAAATTTACTAGGAAATGAAATCAATTGCTCTGCTAGGAGGGAAAATGGCACTTTAACTTGTATTTAAAGTCAAAACACCTAAGCTCGACTGAATAGGCACCAAATTTTGAACAGTGTTACCATCGGTGTCACACTGTTCAGTAAAATTTGTCACCAACTAAACAAGTTTTGAATTGTTCTTGATTCAAAAAGCAACTGACCCACTGATTGAGGGGAGTGAACTTTCCCGTGAGTGCCTTGAGCCCCTCCTGAGCCACAAATCCCCCGATAGCTGCACACAGAGGAGCAAAGCATCCGCGGGCTGTGAATGACAACATTCGCACCAGGTCCTCATCCACTGGCTCCACCTGGTGGGAAAGACAGACAGAGAAAACACAATGATTCAATTTATCTATGTTAATATCTCAACAACATTAAACAGATTTAGCATTTATATTCTGCGTGCAGAAATTTGCCTTTCTTTTGTGATACAAACAATTGTTGTCATCATTCAAACAACTAATCTCATAAAAATATTGTTGAAAGCATGACTCTTTTTTACTCATATATCAATTTTACTATTAAATTATTTGATTTGCAACATAATCTCAAGTCTTTCAATATATGATGTCCAACCTTGTTAGTGAGGTTCTTGTTGATATCATGAGCAAGGGACACAACTCTGGCTGCATCTTTCTGACACCTGAAACACAACAAACCTTCATCATCCTTGTATAATAAATGCACATTGTCACTTAAGACCACAGTCAAGTAATTACAGCAGAATTCGTTTTGACTGTTTTGAAGAAATCATATAAAACATTCCCCTCCCTAACCTATCCACTCACCCACCATTTCCAACTCTCCGTTTTATTTTTCCTTTTTGGCCCAACTCTCATTCCCAAT